GCAGGGAGGCATCACAGAGATGAGCGACAGCAGGAAGCCATAGCCCCCTGCCAGCTCACCCTGGGTGGGGAGCACAGGAGATGACACGACCAGAGCCAAAGATCCAAATCCATCTGGCAGGAACCAGAACCCCAGGAGCTGGGATCACAGAGGGGGGCCCAGAACCTGATGGGAAGCCACCAGATGAAGCAGAAAAAGAGGAAGAAATAGCTGGCTTCTCCCCTACCTTGGGCCCTCCAGCCTTCTTCCAGGGCCCTCATTGGCCAACTCTTCCCAGAAGCCCGAGGCCAGGGAGCCTGGGAACAGGCAAGGGAGCCTGGGAAATGTAGTTCCTTGGCACCCAGCATGGGGACAGGTGAAAGGGAAGACAGACATGTGAGCAAATAGTCGGGTAACCAGTATGCTGCTGTGATTCCTTCCTAAACCTCTGGCATCAGCTGTAGACATCAGCTGTAGATTTGTCTGATAGTATTAAGTTGAATGAACAAATGCCAAATGAATATTAATAGGGGAAAAAGAAAAACAACTCAGAAGCAGCCACTTACGTTTGTTTTGTTTTTCCTGGGTAAGTGCTTGGGGTTGCAAGCTTTAAATTGTGCTTTAGAGCACGTGAGCTTAATTAAATTTAACATGTTGGAGCAACTGAACTTAAAATAGCAATTCATGTTTTCTGCAGAGATGTAGCCTGTGTATGTGATAGAAAGAAACCTATCAGGATTTCAGGATGTGTCTTTCACAAGGAGGGCTGTGACCCAATGGTTGTGCCAGATATTGCCCGCTGACTCCCCAGATCCACTCCTCTGTGCTGCTGTGTGCCCTGGAGGGCTGACCAGTGTGCCGCCCTGAACGCTGGCCTTTGGTGGGGTTCAGCCATGGGGAGCAACAGGAGAAGATTGGGAGGAGGGAAGAGAGTGAGATCAGGGTCTGGTGATTGGGAAACAGTGTGGCTGCTACCAGCCCTGGGTTATGGCACATTCCCTGCGGTCCCCCATCCCCGAGTCTACCCCTTTGGAACAAGGTCCTTTGTAAGCAAAGGCTTTAATTACCCCTCTGTGAGTATGCCTTCCGCCCCTATTGGGCCCAGCTGATTCCAAGGTGTTTTCCTAAAGATTGTGGGCAAAGTGCATGGGTGGAGGGACAAGAAGGTGATGGGCAGCCTGGTTTGGGAGCCCCGCTCAGGAGCTTGGACTGACTCTTGTAGGTCATGGTCAGCCCTTGAGGAGTGTTTCAGGGGGCGAGGGGCATGGCCAGAGTTGTTTCAAATGGTGCGCTCTGGGGTTGGTGGTGCTGAGCATGGATGTGAAGGGAGCCCAGGCAGAGGCAGGGAGGCCTATTTGGAGGCTTCTGCGCTCCTCCACACCAAAGATGGCAAGGCCTAAGCAAAAGTGTGAGTGTGGAGATGGAAGGCAGCGAGAAGTCCAGAAGGTAGAACGTGGGACGTGGATAGGAGTGAAGTGGGGCCCTGGGCTCTCCAGATCTAGCCTGGAGGATCAGCAACTGGTTGTGCTGGGGAGCATGAGCGGATAGACAGGGCCATGTGGGGAGAGATGAGTTTGGTTCTGTCACTAGAGTTTGAATAGAGCCCATTTCACATGACTTTCTCGTGCAGTTTGTCCTTTTGGTTGCCCGGGGTGGGAAGCAGCCTTGCTTATGCCTAGGAGTGTGGGCTCTGAATACCCACGGATCCAGATCTGGTCTCAGCTCCCCCACTTCCCCGAGGGAAAGTGACAACTGCTTAGCTTCCTCCTTCCCTAAATGGGAATGATGATAATGACTTCTTCCAGGGGTTGTCAGGGGGGTAAAGTGAGATAATGTGCAAAACTTCCAGGCACAAGATTAGTGCTCACGCTGGTTATTATTGTTTTTGCTAAAGGCGGACTTGACTCTCAAGGCTGTTTGGAGCCAGCTGGCTCTGGCTTGTCCATAAGTACACACACACACACCCAGGAACCCGGAGCTACTTCCCTGCTCTTAATCCTGGGAAGAAGGCCCTTTCCTCTGGCCATGTTTCTGATGCACCAGTCATAGCGGGAAGCTTCTCTCAGCCCGCCCTCTCTCACCGCTGGTGCCAAGGACCAGCTCGCCCTATTGCACCTCCGTCAGCAGCACGGCCCACTGTGGCTTCATCATATTCTGAGCTGCCCCGACTTGAGCAGCAAAGGGGAGAGAGGCCAGGCAGGGTCCCGCACAGAGTCACCCCGAGGCCTCAGCAAAACGAGACAGTGTCTGAGAGGCGGGATGGCACAGTGGTCCCGTGAGGCCAGACTGCCCAGTTCAGATCCCAGCTCTGTCAATTACTAGCTGGGCACCCCTAGGCAGCCAGCTTAACCTTTCTGTGCCTCTGGTTCTTATCTGTAAAATGGAGATGATGATTGCTATTATGAGTATTCATCCCGTTAAAGATCTCCGAGCAGTGCCTGCACACAGGAAGCCCTCACTCGACCTTAGCCCCCCTTCTTCTTTATTATTAATTAGCAGTAGCGGCAGTGTCTGCTTTCCAGACAACAGCTAAACATGGATAAGAGTTCTGGGCTCATGGTCCATCCCGTGTCCTAGGATTGTTGCAAAGATTAAGCGCAACACCAGATGTGAAAACCCCATCACAGAACAGGTGTTCAGTAGGCAAGCTGGCCCATCCCCTCCTCAAATGGATGTACTCTGACATTGCACACACTCAAGCGGGGTGCTGGGGGGCAGTGGTCTGGGGTCAAATCCCAGCTGTGTATCTTTGCTTCTTAGCTCTGCCTGCCCAGCTGCAGAGCAAGGATCATGGTAGGGGCTGCCTCAGAGAGTTGCTACAGGACCAAGAGAGCTGATAGCCATAGGGCCCTGAAAATGGGGCCTGGCACACAGGTGACCTTTGGGGTTTGCTCCTACTGTCGTCACTGTTCTGGGTGTGGATTACTCCTGCCTCTCCAACTTCTCTCATCAGCTCTGAGGGGGAATGAAGTGGGCTCTGCCCAGTGGGTGGCCCAGCAGGCCAGAAATCCTGCTGGTGGCGGCGTGTGAGCCATGGTGGGCTCTGAGCACTGCTCTAGGGAAGGGGTGGCTGACAGGCCACAGGCTGGGACAAGCTTATCAGTGAGATGAGGAAACATGCCCTGTGTTTGTCACATGGTAAGGAGCAAACCCAGACTACGGACCTAGAAACCAGTGTTAAAGTCCAGTGGCCCATCTTAGCAGTCCCAGCTATGTGACTTCAGCAAATCACTTAACCTCTCTGACTCTTGGCCATTCCTCTTCTGTGCCATGAAAGCACTAGTCCCTATCCTCTCAGGATTGCCACGATGCCCAGGTGAAACAGATAGACCTAAGGGGCTGGCCCACAGGCCCTTGCAGAACCCCCGCACCCCCCGCCCCGGCCCTGGCCCCACCTCCCCACCTCTCTTAGCTGTGAGCTGGGATGGGGCCGGGGACCAAAGTTTCCTCCACTGTGGCTTCCCCCTCCACAGAGCAGGCTGGGAACATGAGGAGGGAGGCAACGGCCTCTTGCACTGCCCACTGACGGGATGTCAATAAATGCCTGTCTGCTCCAATCCTGCGTGAGGGAGTTCCCGGGTGGAAGTTTGCAGGCTCCGGTATTTCATAGTTGAGATCTCAATTAAGCTGCCTGGTTCTGGGTTTGCGGGGTTGATGGGTGCTAATGGAGCCCTTGAGTAGTAGGGGACTGCAGAACGGAGGGCCCTTTGGGAGGAGGGGTGGTGGGAAAGGTGCAGAGGGATGTGGCCCCTCCAGGACGAGGTGACTATCTTTGCAGGAGTGTTTATGGGGTGACACGGGCATTGTCTCTGGAGATACCACAAGGCACGATACCTGGATGGGGCCTTAGAGATCAGGGTGTGCGCCCAGGCTTCCTGAGGGTCCCAGTGAGAAAGGCCCAGGACAGTGGATGGGCCCCAGCATGGGAGACTGTGGCCCCACTAGACCCTCCCCTAAGGTGGAGGGACCAGTCAAGGCCTCCCCAAGCAGAGACTCTCTTTCCCCAGGCCTCTCTGGATGAGGCTGGCCTGCTATGCCCACGAGGGAGGAATTATCCCTTCCCTCTGGGAAGCAGAATCACCCTCCAGTCTTCATCATGGCACTGTCCCCCTCCCCTCCCCGCCTCTAGCTGTCTTCTGCTTAGACCCCTCCAGCCCAGTTTGCAGCAGCAAACATTCTCCTGCCAGGCCTGAGAAAGCCATTTGCAGAGGAGGATGGCGTGGGCTCCAAGGGCAGAGCCTTGACTGTGACTCCCCACAGTGCAGGCCCCAGGCAGGGGCTCAGCCAATGTCCATGCATCTCCAGGACACAGCAGGGGTGGATGGAGTCTGGGGTGTCTGGAGGGGGGGCCCTGGCGGGCCTGGCTCCCACCACCTCCCAGAGTCTGAGGGAGACAGGGCGGGAGTCAGGCTGCAGGTCTGTTTGTTTACACTGGGCTTCCGCAGGCTTTAACCTCTCTGCCTCTCCGTGTCTCTCCCTCTGCCCCTCCTGTCATCCCTCTCCCATCTCTGCCCGAGGTGCTCCCCTTCTTCTCTGTACCTCCTTCTCCCTACCTGCTCTCCACTCCCCCCCCACCTCGTTCCCTTCATCTTCACACTCCTGATGTCTGTTTTTGCCTCTTCGGGGCCCTTGGGCACCTGGTCTGCATGTGCATCTCTCACTGACCCTCCCACCCCTGAATCTCTCTCTCACTGCCCTTTTCACCCCACCTGTCCTTCTCTGGCTTCTTATCTGGGCCCCTCTCCTCCCACCGCTGGGGCTCCTTCACCACCTCCCATGCCCTGTTTGTGTCCCCTGCCATCCCTTCATCCCTTGGCTTCCTCCTCCTCTCTCCCCACCCCTCCTGTCTCCTTGGTTCCTTTTCCTGTCTCTTCGCCTGTCCCCCTCTCTCCTGCTCCACCTCATTCCCTCTGTGTCCGTGTGTCTGTCTCCCTACCGCCAACCTCTCCTGTCTCTGTCACTCTCTCTTTCTGTCTCTGCCGACCATCACCATCTAACCCCTCTGCATCCCCCCACCCCAGGATGATCCCAGCCTCCAACAAGGCCTTCGTGGTCAACAACCTGGTGTCAGGAACCGGCTACGACCTGTGTGTGCTGGCCATGTGGGACGACACGGCCACGACGCTCACGGCCACCAACATCGTGGGCTGCGCCCAGTTCTTCACCAAGGCCGACTACCCCCAGTGCCAGTCAATGCACAGCCAGATCCTGGGTGGCACCATGATCCTGGTCATCGGCGGCATCATCGTGGCCACGCTGCTGGTCTTCATCGTCATCCTCATGGTGCGCTACAAGGTCTGCAACCAGGAGGCCCCAGGCAAGCTCGTGACCACTGCGGTCAGCAACATGCACTCGCAGACCAACGGGGCCCCGCCACCCACTCTGGCCAGGGCGCCCAGCGGGGCCCCCACGCAGGTGCCACCCAAGGTGGTGGTGCGCAATGAACTTGTGCAGTTCAGTGCCAACCTGGCCCGGGGCAGCGACTCCTCTTCCTCCAGCTCCCTGGGCAGCGGGGAAGCCGCAGGGCTGGGACGGGGCCCCTGGCGGCTCCCACCCCCTGCCCCCCGCCCCAAGCCTAACCTTGACCGCCTGATGGGGGCCTTTGCCTCCCTGGACCTCAAGAGTCAGAGAAAGGAGGAGCTGCTGGACTCCAGGACTCCAGGCGGGAGAGGGTCTGGGACATCGACCAGGGGCCACCACTCAGACCGAGAGCCACTGCTGGGGCCGCCTGCCGCCCGGGCCAGGAGCCTGCTCCCCTTGCCCCTGGAGGGCAAGGCCAAGCGTAGCCATTCCTTCGACATGGGGGACTTTGCTGCTGCAGCTGCGGCAGCTGGAGCGGTCGCCCCTGGTGGCTACAGCCCCCCACGGAGGGTCTCGAACATCTGGACAAAGCGCAGCCTCTCTGTCAACGGCATGCTCTTGCCCTTTGAGGACAGTGACCTGGTGGGGGCCCGGGGAACTTTTGGCAGTTCCGAGTGGGTGATGGAGAGCACGGTGTAGGCCGGGGGGGCCCTCCTGCCGCTCACCCTTGCAGGGTGGATGAAGGGGAAAGAATCTGTACTGGCAAGTCTTTGTGGAGTTACCATGGTGATGTTTACATCTAGGGACAGTTTCATCTCCTTGTCAACACCCCCCCACTAACCCACACCACCTTCCAAGCCTGTCCCCCACCACCCAGCCAGGGTGTGCTCAGGGAAAGCAGACTCAATCGCTATAATGTCGGACTGAGCCCTGAGTGTTTGGAAAGGCGGACTCCCTCCTTTCTGATCACGAATGTAGCGTGTAAGCAAGCAGCTTTGGATTGCTTATGGTTCCAGCATTGTTTTTATTTCTTAATTTATGTTTCCCACTTCCCAGACTCCTCCTCTTCCTTCACACAGATCATGGAGAGTTTACTCTTCATGTGAGAGTGGGTTCCCAGCAGCCCTGGTAGTGGGAGATTATGGTCCATTGACAAGAAAAGGGAAAGATCCTGGTTCCACACTTGTTTGGAGGGAAGACTGAGGCATCCCCCGTCCAGACTCCTCCTTATTTCCAACTGTTCCCATGCTTGGGAGGGATGGGCAGCCACCTGTATACCTGACCCAGCTTCCTCTGCTCAGACATCATGCCCCACACCCATCACAGCAGCCTAAACCAGAAGAGTAACTTCCAGAACTTCTTATGTGTGGGAAAGGCAGAAGGGCTTTATGAGGCACAAGGGTATAAAGGGTGTTAACTTTTGGAGTTGCTGTAGGATTTTTACCTCTTTTGGGGGGAACCTGGGACCGAAAGTCCCCATAAGTATGTGGCTGGCCAAGAGGGCTTCTCTTGATGAAGCAGAGTGGGGTGGCAAAAGGAGCACTGGACTTGGAGTCCAAAGCTCTCAGTTTGGGTTCCAGAGCCACCACTGAATAACCAGCTGAACACATTGGGCAAGACCCTTTTTCTCTTTGGACCTCAGTTAATTCTCACACTACTGGATTGTACCCAGTCTTTGATTTCCTTCAGTTCTAAGGACTAATGAACTCTTCCATGACTCTAGATGTTATGGTCTCCAGATCAGCAGTACCAGCAGCACAAGCTGGTAGAGCATCCCTTTTCTTCCTACTGGGCACAGAGGGAGAATTCTAGAGGTTTGGGAGGGGGAAATTGGAATCTTTTTAGAATGGTAGAGATTTGAAGTTTGAAGAGGTGTTTGCAATCATCTCATCCTTAACCCTCTCTCCCTCCCACACCTGCCCCAGAGTATAAAGGACTTGCTCAAGGTCGCACAATGAGTTAGTGACCAAGTCAGGGCAGGTGCCAAGGTCATCTCCTGGGATGGTGTTTGGGATTCACTATGCTGTCTTCACCCTGGCTCAGGCATTTCTATGTCCAAAGTCCATTCCTTGTTTGTTCCTGAGGAAGGTGGCTCAGAGTGGGACATGGGGGGTGCCTTTCCTAGATGCCAGCTTTGAGGAGGATCCATCCATGGAAATGACAGAGGGCAATGGGAGGGGTGCACATGGGTTCCTTTCTACCAGGGGATTAACTCCCACATTCCAGACCATGTCAAGAGGGGGCAGAGGACATGTGGCCAGGGAGAAACTGTTTTAGAAACATCTGGAGGACTTTCCCCTGCATCTCTCTCTGTCTCTCCTGGTCTCCGTCTCTTCTAGATCTTTCCTCACTGCCAATATACTACCTTTCCCTCAGTCTCCCCAACCCATTCTTTGCTCTTCTGAGCCTCTGTCATTGATCTCTAGCTTTTCTCCTGTTCTTTTCCCTCCTTCCACTTGCCAACCACATCACACACAATGTCCAGGTGAGTCCACTTCTGCTGAAGGGTTCTGATGGGCTCAGACCTGGAGCTGAACTGGCGGCCCCCAACCCCACCCAGAACACACAAGGAGCTGGTAGGGAACTATCTATGCAGGATTGCCTTCTGGCTCCAGCCCCGGAGACTCCAAATCCCTCTTCTTTGCCCTTCTCCCTCCCACCCCTCCTGCCTCCTCTCACCTTCCCTCCACTTTCTTGTCTTCATTCTTGTTCTTCCTGTTGACCCTCTGCCTTGCCCCATCCCTTTCTGGTCCTGACAGTCATTAGCAGCCCAGGCTGGTCTCTTCCTAAGACATGTTAATTTTCCAGGCGAGTCCTGGGGCCGTAGCACAGGCCTTCCCCAGTCATGGTGGCAACCATGGAATTGGGTGACTTGAACGGAAATCTCTCCCTCCCTCCCTCCCTCTTTCCCTGCCCGAGTTTCTCTTCTCTTCTTTTCCTCCCTGCACCTTTCTCCTTCAGTCTTTCTAAATGTAGCCATTGAGGAAGTGACCCCAAATACCACCTTTTTGCCTTTGGGTTAGGACACCCAGAAGGAAATGGTGGACACTGGAAGGGGAGGACCGAACTGTATATTCTGGTCAGTGCCCCGAGCTCTGTCATGACATGATGTGTACTTGCACTTGTGTTTGTCATGTTTCTGACTCGGAGTTTTGGAAAGCTACATCCGTGTGGTCAGAATATAAATGCCAACTTTCTTTGCTAAAAAAGAAATGTACAGTAAAATGTACAGTTTAAAAAACAGAACCAACCACACTTCTTGGGAGAGAGAAAAAAAGAACATTCTCATATCTGTGAATGTCTGCTGTTCATTTCTCTGGAAACTGCAGTTTTCTGAAGGTGGCTTTGAAGTGGCATTTTCTCTTGCACCTGTGTTTGTTACTGCCCAGTGGGAGCCTGCTTCCTGCCAAGTTCATGTATAAGACAGGAGCCTTCTGAAATAAGAGAGAATGGGGTCGTCCTTCTGGAATAAAGGACAGTAGAGGGATCTGGAGTGAAGCTCCAGGCGAAGAAGGAATGGTCCATCCTCAGCTGCCCTGACTGTCCCACCTGGTATCTCATAGACCTGCCCTGCCTTCTTTTTCCGGTACCGTGGCCACCACCACACTTAGCCATTAGGGGTGCACGGACATCTCCCACCCATCCTTGTTGAGCCTTGGACGACACTTTTTCAAAAGGCTCTTTTACTGGGGGAACTGGGACAACGAACCAAAGCATAAACCCAAGGTACAGAAACGAATGAACTTCTCTGGAAACAGCTTCCAACCCTAGCTACATCTAGTGGCTAGATTAGCGCTGTCCAATTGGAATAAAGTGTGACCCACAGGGTCATTTTAAATTTTCCAGTAGGTGCATTGAATCAAGTATAAAGAAACAGGTGGAATTAATTTTAATAATATATTTTATCTAATCCAATATAGCCAAAAGATTATTTTAATGTGTAATCACCATAAAATTATTAATAAGACATTTAAATTTGGGGTGGGTGGGGGGAGTTCCCCCCACCAAAGTTTTGGAAATCAAGTGTGTGCTTTACACTCAGGGCACATCTCAATCCAGACTAGCCACATTTAAAGTGTTTGAGAGCCGCATGTGGCTAGTGCTGGTCACCATATGGGACAGTGCAACTCTAGACAGAGAGTGATTGACTTGCCAGTGCACCTTTTGGAAGGGGAAGGAGCTAACAGTTATTGAGCACCTACAGTTTCCAGGTCCTGTGCTGCTACTAAACAGGCATTTCTCACAGCAGCCTCTCAAAGTAGATATTATTATGCTGATTTTACAGATGAAGGGCCTGAGGCCCAAGAGGGGTTAAGTAACTTGCCCAAGGTCACACAATATGTCTGGTCGCAAAGCCTTAGCTCTTTCTATAACATCACCCCCTATTCTTTCTTCCTCCCTTCAACCCATTATGGATTGTATTTTAGACTGATGGAAGTACTCAGATTTATAGCCTAATCTGGAAGCTCGTGGTTTGGCCTCAAGGTCTGGTAAAATTCTCAGAGTGTTAACTCCAGGTAAGGGCCCTTGGTTAAGTGGTTTCCTCTGACCTCACACTGGCCTTTTTGGCCTTTCTTAGAGGCCTGTAACACATTCCCTCCCCTGACCGGAAAGATTCCCTCAGGCTTCAGAAGGTCCTGCTCAGACCACCCTTGTGATCAGCCCTTCTCCTGGCCTGGAGACTTCTAGGAGATCCCTTGCTTCCACCCCCAGCGTCATCTAGTCCCCTGTGCCCTGAAAGCCTATGACTTCATCCCCATAAGATAGAAAGCCTCAGACCAGCTCACTCCAATGACCAAACCCATCTTCCCACCACTTCCTGTTCCTAAACTCTTGTCCCTATCAGGAGAAGCGCTCGCCCACCCAGATCCTTTTTCTTGATTGAAAGAAGCTTCAGTTCTCTGCTCTTTGGCAGAGAAGAGGTAGCTGATACATGCTGAGCCCAACCGAATTATGGGGTCATCCTTCTGGAATAAAGGACGGTAGAGGGATCTGGAGTGAAGCTCCAGGCGAAGAAGGAATGGTCCATCCTCAGCTGCCCTGACTGTCCCACCTGGTATCTTATAGACCTGGCCTGCCTCCTTTTTTTGGTACCGTGGCCTTTCTGACAAACAGTCCAACCCCCTTTCCCCAAATTCTTGATAACGACATTCCTCAGTTTCCCCTCAGAGGAGATGCTTTTCATTTTGCCATCATAACACTGTTGAAATTCCAAAAGAACTTACGCACATTTTTTTTTTAAAGGGATAAAATTTTCAGCGGGGTAAAAGGAAGGTCATTGTCTCAGGTTTCCCCCTTCCAAGACAAGTAGTAACTTTTCTCCCCAGGTCTCTAGGTACTGATTTTCCCAAAGCACAGCCTGGGTATTTCAGTGTCTTCTATTCTCTCTCTGTCTGCAATGAGGGTCTCAGGGCTTGAGCCAGCGAGGCGGGGCTTCCTCTGTTCTTAACAGCCACTGTGGCCTCTGCAAACTGCTGCCAGTAAGATCGACACACTTACTCAAAAGACGAGACTTGGCAGACAGCAGTCAAATCCCCACCACGCAGTTTTAAATAGCACACCTCGGTTCTCAAACCCAGCCACTCCCTGTGATGCAGTTGGCAGCAGGAAGTTTGTTGTGACAAGGCTTCTTCCAGGTTCCTACCTTTGCAGAATAGAATTGGACCCACCCAGGTTGCTCTCCCAACATCTACACGGAA